CTCTCCCTCTCTCCCACCCTCTTTCCTTGCTTCGCTTTCTGCTCGTTTTGGCGTCCTCCCGCCCTCCCGCCCCCCCACCTTTCCTTCCTCCCGTCCCTGCCCGAGTTTCTCTGCCCTCCCTCTGCCTCTCGGCTCGACTCTCTTTCTCTGCATCCCAGGACTCGTTTCCTTGGAAGTCAGTGTCCCACAAATCAGCCGGACCTTGCTTCCGAGTGAACCGGTGTTGGGCGAAGATGCGCGGAGCCATCCCCGGCTTTCCTCAGTCTCTCTCTCTCTCTCTCTCTCTCTCTGATTCTGTTCGAAATGGCATCTCTTCCTCCTCCCGATCTCGGGGCATGTTTATTCGGAAAGTGACGCCCCGGCCGCAGTTTGCCGCGGCTTGCTCGCAAGTAAGCGTGCCTAGGGCTCCCAGCCCTCTCCCTGTAGGCACTGGCGTGTCCCAAATCCTCGAGCCATGGGCTGTCACGCCCGGGTCCCCACGCGCGCTTGCACAGGGCCCGGGCCGGCACCGAGGTGCGTGGAGATGCTCCGCCACGCGTTTTGTTTCGGGGACTCCGAGGCGTTTTCAGGCGCTGGAACGCGCGGTCCGTGGACTGTGAGGCTTGCAAGCCTGCGTGGCGGCAGACGGCGTCGGCAGAACGGGGCAGACGGGGCGCTTCGCTGCGCTGTTTGTTTGCTTAGCCCGCGGATGCCCTCTCCGCGGCGGCCTGTGCGCGCTCCGCAGAAACGCTTTCGGCAGGGCGCGCGGGCTCTTCCCCTGCTCCTGCCCCGGCGGCCGCTGCCGCAGCTCGAGCAGCCGGAGGCCGGAGGGCCACGCTCGGCGCTCGGCCGGCCGCGTTGCGCCGAATATTGGGAAGAGTACGAACAGGACTGACGCCCGCGGGAAAAGAGGCCAGGCGCTGCTGGTAGCTGCTGCCTCCTGTCCTAGTGCCAGCGCTAGAGCGAGAAAGTGTGGCGTGCACAATTCTCACAGATTAGCCCAGGCACTATGGTTTTGAAATTTGTCGTAAATTCGGCCCGTATATCCACTGCTCCTGCGGTTATCTGTTGGGATAATTTGTAACGAAGTGCCTCAAGAAAGAAATCATCCACAGCACCAATGCTCTGTGTGGCTATTTTAGATCAATGACTAGTGCCATGGGCTTGACTGTGGCATGTGCCCATCAGTCTAAACAAATCTGCTAAATGCTCCCTGTCTTTACTTTTTGAGATTGATTTAGACGCATGAGTGTACAGGACGGCTATATAGAGAGGAGATAAAATGCCTGCTCTTTGAAATGTATAGATAGATTCGTATCTACGTAAATATTGAAGGGGACATTCAGATAGTATAGTGCTGTCTTTGTGTATCTAGGAAAAAAGATAATTGTATATTAGACAGATGTAATAGCCAAGAATCACTTGATAGAATGTACTCCAGCTGCTCCATAAAATGTCATGAGCTTTGGCATGAATTAAAGACTTCTGCATTGCTCCCATAAGTAAGAGTAATTATTGTCTATTGTAATTATGAATTGCTAGCACACCTCGCTCACAAACCTATCAGGAAAGCAAATGTGCATTATGCAGGTAAAAGTAAAACCTCCATCACAGAAGACTGCCCCGACGGCTGTGTCGTGGCCTTTCCTTCTTATTGTCCCCCACCCCAACGTCTTTTAGCATCTTAGCAGTAGCGCAGAGATGGCTTTGTCCCTAGATGCTGTTAAATCTCCCCCCTCCTACCCAAATGTGGAAAGCACCCAAAACTCTGGGTTTTCCTTTTGAAGGAACGGTTCCCTTTCCAACACACTCTCCCTTTTGATTGCAGATCAGCAAAAAACCACAGTTATCGAAAACGGGGAGATCAGATTTAATGGGAAAGGGAAGAAGATTCGGAAGCCTCGAACGATTTACTCGAGTCTCCAGCTACAGGCTTTAAACCACCGCTTCCAGCAGACCCAGTACCTGGCGCTTCCTGAGAGAGCAGAGCTGGCGGCATCACTAGGACTTACACAGACACAGGTAATTCCTGGGGAAGTTTGGGTCCCAGTGATCCTGGAGGAGGCAGCATCGAGACAGACCCCCCCCCGCCGCCGCAAAGAAAGAAGGGTACCCTAAACCAAAAACAGTCCATGACCTGCTTTGACCAAAGGCTAGGAATACATCTAGAGCTTATCTTTTCATAGGACCAGTGGATTTCATAAAACAAGGTCAGCTGTGAAGTATCACTCGGAACTTTTTTATATATTTTTTTCTTCACCCTCCAATTTATCTGAAGTCTTTTGTGGTGCATTTCAAAAGGTTTAGGTCCACCAAATCCAGAATTTAGGCATTTATCTATTTCCACCACCCCTCCAATTTTCAGACTGTGAAGGATACAATTGTCAATGAGCTGGAACATTTAGAAGATAAATTATATCTAAGGTACACCCCCCTAAAAAAATTAGCTGGGATGGGAAACAGCCTCCCTATTCTGGTTTAATACAGTGGCAATATGGTACTCAGTCTTTGGGCCTGAAGAAAGCACACCTACCTTAGTAATATTCAGTAGTAAATTATCCTGGATGAGTAACTGGAATTCAGTGGGTGCCCTTAGGCAAAATGTACAAAAGGTGATGATAGAGCTGACGATCAAAGGGAAGTGTGTACAAAATTAGAGCAAGTTAAGCCACAGTTAAATGTGGTTGATGTGTTCTTGGTTTCCCAGCAAATTTAAGCTTGAATGACACACAAAGTACTATTGACTTGGAATAAAGAAGTAAAGCGATTAATTGGATTCATGAATAGAAAAAACAGTTCTTAAAGTTATGGTGGCATTTATAATCTTTTTTGGAGGAGGAGAAACCATATGCATACATGCAGGAGTTGCTTCCAAGAATGTAAGAAAGAGAGAATAAATATATGAATTGGGGATTTGGTGACTTATGGTGATAAGTCTGACCTTGGAGGCAAGAAAAGGCATGCAGGTGTATTTTAATAACCACACATTGATATGGTTATTACAATCAATGTGCGTTTGGTTCTTTGGGGCACAGAAAGCATGGCAGAGAGTATAAGAACTTCTGGATAAATGTGTTGGAATGACACCGACTTCCACTACTTGGGGGGAGGGGGTAGACAAATAAGCACACTTCAGATATTTTGGACTACAACTCCCATCCACACCAGCCAGCATGGCCAACAATTAGTGATGATAGGGGCTGTAGCCCAAGGCCATCTGGCAGACATCAGGTTGTCTGCCTGTGTTCTACAGGGTTGCAAAGGTTTCCCTTTCTAAAGTTTGGCCCACTTTTTCACTTCTGCATCTGTAGCTCAATTTTGTTGACTTTGCACCACTTAAAGACATCACTGGGATCATCCTCACTTTTACTTACAGCACTAGCCTGCTTAGAGAAGCATTGGGACTCTCCTTGCCTTTTCTCCAGGCTACGAAGTGGGCTGCTGGAAGGGGGCTCCTTTTCAACTCATGGATTACTTCTTTATAGACCAAGCTGGAATCCAACAAAAACGGACATGTTTTGGATTCAGGCCAATTTAGACCCATTGAAGCCAGATGCCAGACAGTTTTAGAGTCTGATTTTCAACTCGTTAAAACGAAAGTGGCACCCTTTGCTACGCACATTTACTTGGAAGTTCGTCCAACTGACCAGGGAAAGTTCTGACTAGGTTGCTTGGGATCGTACTTCTGTCAGTTTAGGTGAATGGCACCGATGAACCGCATCCTCGGGGACTCAGCGCTGGGCTATGCCAGTTTGGACCCCCGGATCCTTGAGCTGTGTGGCAGAACCGTTCAGTGAGCGCAGGAATGGCAGGGTGGGGTGGAGGGAATCTCCCAAATACCGGACGAGGTCGTGGACTCGGTATGCGCGAAGTCCTGCCCTCCCCCTCATCACCCATGTGCAGATAATTATAAATGGTAGTTACGTATTTACAATTATGCAGTATATTATAGACCAGTGCATGCCCTACCTATCCACGTATGCTGGGGTTCTGCGTGCGTAGATGCCCTGCATGGGCGAGTGAAAAATGCACGGGCAGGGTGAACGAGTGCGTTGTAGTATCCCCACAGAAGGAAATGGCCTTTTAAAAAATGCAAAACCAGTTGCCTAAGCACGTGCTAATTGCAGGTGACTTACACAATGGAAATGGAAGAAAGAGGAGAAGGGTATGCTAAAGTTTATGGCCCTGCAGGAGCTTGGCCGGGTTGCACCAGAGAGAGAGAGAGAAAGGCAGACAGGAAAGCAAGCAGGCAGCTCGAAGCGGGGAAGACGCATCTCCACGGGGCTTTCTCGCTGCCCCTCGCTGCCCTCTTAGTCGGCTTGCTACGGGCTCTCATGTCTTGTCTTCCGCCTTTGGGTTGCAGGTGAAGATCTGGTTCCAGAACAAGCGCTCCAAGTTCAAGAAGTTGCTCAAGCAAGGCAGCAACCCGCACGAGAGCGACCCCCTGCCGGGCTCTGCCGCTCTGTCCCCGCGGTCTCCGGGCCTGCCTCCGGTCTGGGACGTTTCAGCCTCTGCCAAAGGAGTCAACATGCCTCCCAACAGCTACATGGCCGGTTATTCTCACTGGTACTCTTCTCCACATCAAGACACAATGCAGAGACCACAAATGATGTGAGTGGGCCAAGAGAAACAACTCGCTGGAGAAGCGGCGTCTCCGGCAGGGCTTTGCCAAGGGGGCCAGCTCGCCGGGCTCCGGGTGGCTGTGGAGTGCGGCAAGGGAGACGGGCTGGGGCGGCTCTGCCTTTCCCTCTCCTTTAACCTCAGCGATTGATCTTGCGCAGAAAAGAGGCCGTGTGCGTGGTGGCCCACGTCAGATGATCCTCTTTGGGATATTTCCATTGGGACTCGGAGGCACCAAACCTCTCTGGGAGTACAAGTCGAAGCAAAACACAACAAAAAAAATTTACAGACTTTTCCCACCAGTCCACGCAGCAACTTTCAAAAAAGAACTTGTTTAATGAGAAAGAAGCTAACGAACCTATCTTATTTTTATTCACTAAACCGAGAACGAGATTGGAAAGGGTGCTGGCCGGGTGGGGGTGGGGGGAAGCGGGTGTTTGGGGGGTTTTATTATTTGTTTATTTCTTTCTTTTGAAGGGAAAAGAAAATGCCATTGGAAAAAGAAAACAAAGCTGAGGGAGGGAAACTTTTCTCATTCATTTAGAGCACTCCACAAGGCAAAATTGGCATGCTTTCTCCGAGCGAGCGGGACTGACAGCTGCGCAGACGATCCACTGGTCTGCCTGCTTCTCTCCCTCCCCACTCCCTAACTCAGTAAGCCACCTGCTAGGGATACCTGGAACTAGGGGCACCTGAAATTGACCACACTCTCCCGACGCCCCCATGCACACCCCATTGCAGCGACTCGGAGCAGTGCAACCCTCGGATGTTTCCGCGAGGGGTCCAGAAAACGTCCCCAGTAGATTATGTCCCAAGAGAAAGAGAACCAGAGAAAGTTACCTCCTTAACCAAACAAACCCACACCCGATCCTAAGGCTAGAATCCCCCATCACCACCAGCCGCTTCTCTAACGTGATCTGCGGCACGCTCGGCCTCTCAGTTCCCGAGCAACCTTGTTGTACATATTGTTGAATTTTAGCTGTATATATATACACTTTGTATGTTTTGTCTCCTTTCATATATAGAGTAAAATCCACAAAATGTCAAAGAGCTTTTAACATGTTCTTTCTCCCTCTCTTTCCCGCCATCCAAGTTGCAAAGAGAAAGGGCAAGAGCTTAACCACCCCAACGTTAAAGCACAGTAGCTTGGCATTTGTTCATCTTTTCAGCAAGTGTGCAGCCTCAAAGGCCACTACGGAGTACCAGTGACTTCAGCAGGACTACTCCGGAGAAGACGTTTGCTAGATGCTCCCCTATCTAAGTAGACAGCCCACCGAAGAAAGAGTCATAGGTTAAGTTCTAGAAAAGTGGGTGTGTACCCTTGGCTCTGTCTGTCTGTCCATGTACTAGGTGGTGGTCAGGATAGATAGATGGATATTGTGTAGCATTTGCGCACACGCACGCACAAACACACACGCATCCCAGTCATAAAATCCTGTTTTGTGACTGTCGACCTACCTAATCAGTAAACAGTATCTTTGTTCTAAAGGAGACTTGTCTCGATCCACAACCTGGTGGATTTCAGCCCGTCTGCACCCTGCAAAGATGACTGAACCAGAATGGCTCTGCCCTCTCTTATCTGTGCTGCTAAACAAATGTTGGATTTTGACAACGTCGTGGCATTTCCATTCAGTTTCAATATCGATATCCCGAAAGCTGCCCTCAACCCATCTCGGGGCTGTCAGGGTGCCTTCTAGTTTGAGGCAGGTTCAACAAAGGCTAAGAGGTTGCCTGCCTTTGTATGTGGGGTGGGTGTTGTCGCTGTGGCAGATTCCCCCCACCCCACTCCGTGGCACCCACCCTCCCACCCTGAGCAGACAACTGGAGCTGCTGAATGGTCTCCAGGAGCCCTCCCTGGTTCACACAAAGCCGTGTCCGGGGCGAATGATATCCCTTCCTAGGCTGTGCAAAGGCGAGAAATCATAAAACATGAAAAGCCCCTTTCGTCACACAAGCAGGATGCCCCATACTGCGAGAATTAATGGCTAGAGCCCTGGGCATCCTTCAAATTATGAACCTTGAAACCACTGAGCCATTTATCAGAAGTCAATGGAGATCCTCAGAGTGCTCCATATAATGACAGCTACATACAGTCGTGCAAAAGGACAGTCACTATAATTAGACACAAAAGCCAAGACTACTTACCAATATACCAGCGCCGGTTTTTTGTTGAGCAACTTCCACGCTCAGTCAGTCTTCAGAATGGCTTAAAACCGATCAAGTCTTGTCATTTTCTACCATTCGCATTGTTACATTAGGAGCGAAAAAAATGTTTTCTTTTCTTTCTCCCCCCCCCTCCCCATTCCTACTGTGAAACTTTGGGTTCAGCTCTCCCCAGGTTCAATTGTGAACAAAGCCCCCAGCTGCAGCGCCATCCAATTTGAAGCAGACATTGGGGACAATTTAAGGTTTTTATCCATAAGAAGGTTTTTTCCCCCATTCTCTTAAATGCAGCCATAATTAGAGTAATTTTTCATGTAGCCCGCTGATTACAGCGTTTTTACCGTCAAAGATAATTACCTGTAATTTTCTTCCACTTTTAATACTAAAAAGCCATCTTTATTTAGATTCAGGAACAGGAAAGGCGAAACAAAAGAGGGAAATTATTCTGTTATTCATACACAAATTGCAGAGACGTAGGACCTAAAATTGAAAATTAACCAAAATTATAATGCTAGGAAGAATGGAAGAGGCTTCTGAGGTACAGCTGGCTGTGGGGTTCACTGAATTATTCAGATTCATGTTAGAGAGGGAATGCTATCATACATTTAAACCAAGGGTAGCCATTCCTTTTGTGGAGGAGCCAGCTTATCCAGTCCTCAAAGATTTCCTGATGAAAGATAATCCCCCCACCCCCAGAACCAGTTAAGCCACTGGGAAATGGGGATGCTTCAAGCAAAGCCACAATCCAGTCGCAGAATGAAAGCTCCCAGTTCCAACAAGCGCCTCTAAGAGGAACAGGCCTTTACTGCTAAGTAAGTATATTTACTCTAGGGTGAGGATAGTACATGAATGTAGCTCTTAATCTACTGAAATAGGTGGCAAAACTCGCATCAGTTGTAATGAAATTGGACTTTAGCTTAAGTGTGCTTAATTAGGAGTCATTCCTTCCCCTCCTCTTCTCTTCCTTCTTTTCTTGTGAACTTGCTTCTGGAGGGGGCTGGTTGATCCATTCATCCTCATGCACACTCCCCCACTCGGAAACAGCCCACCTCTCCCCTGCCCTCACACCACACATACAGTGTGGTAGAACATCCTGGAGGGTGTGTTCGCTTTCCCTCCTGTTACCTCATTTCATTTCTCTCGGTTGGTGCACTTTATTTTGTCATAAATGTCCAGCTCTTGGATAGGTGAGATGGGAGCGGAGAAGGCTGGCAGTGGTGCTCGTCTCCCCTCTGCATGCCACCCCCCACCCTGCATCTTTAAAACTATTTAGAAGCATGGAAGTAGATGTACTGGGTTTTTTTTAAGGGGGCTATTAGATAAACAGGGTTGCCTTAAAACAAAAGAACAGAAAAACCTACAGGAATAAGGTTGGGAAGCTTCTAAGCTTTGAAAGCATTATCTGTGGCCCTCTGATGGAGTGGGCTGGGGGGAGGAGAGAGAGAAAGATCACAAACCACAAAACAGCGTCATCTACAGACAGACCTTGGACAATTCTGCCATTCCACCAGAATTTAGGGTTTTTCCAAAGCAGTGTCTCTCTCAGCTGCTCCAGATCAGCACCCTGTGCATAGCACATTGGGTAAATGCCTCCGAAGTCCTCACCTCTGTATCAAAAAGGGATACCTAATTTTCCACTTGCAGGCTTCCAGTGTGAAAAAGTACCTGGAAAGATGATGATGGTGATGATGCTGGGCGCTTGTGTGGATTTGTGGTGGTGGTGGGACATACACATAACGTCTCTGGGAAGTGTGTGCATGTCTGTGAGGTGTGTGTGTGGGTGGGAGAGATTTCTCTTCCCTTGAAATCTAAGGTGAAAGTCCTTGCAGATCCAGATGGTTGCTGATAAGAACCTCGAAAGCAACCCGCAACCCATGCAGAAGTGAAAGGTGGGAGGAAACGTCCTGAAGCAGATCAGGGAGAGAAGCCCGCTTAATCCTGCCAAACCAAAAAGACTGCAGCAGTCGGTTTAACATAAGCAACCTGGGCCAAATCTCAGCATCCCTGATTCACCACAAGCCTGCTTAGAAGTGGTGCCCAGCTTGTGTGGATATCATGATTTACTTCATCATTATGGTGTGGAAAGGCTAGTCACAGCATAAAGTCGAAGTAGCATGGTCCCGTGGAAGAAATGGGGTGCATTTATTTCCCATTCAGCTGCGTTAGGTAAGAGAAGAGATACGACGGAAACATAGAATTCATATTTTGGACCTTAAAGGTATGTATGTCCAAGAGAGTTTGGAAAACAGGTAGTCCGGATAGGCCTCAAAAAGCCGGACCCAAAGCTATTTAACCTAGAGGGGACCCTCAGTGGGCTTTGCAGGCGAGGCTAAGCATGCGTACTCCCAGGTGGCCCGTTGAACTCAGCGGGAGTGACTCCTAAGCGAGGATGCACGCAAGCATCGCCTCGCCTCGCCTCGCCTCGCATCGCATCACATCCCCTGGGAAGTTGCAACACAGAACCCCCCCCCCCACCCCCCGCACCAGCTCTCGCTGCGGGTTAGACCCCCGGCTGACAGTAAGGCGACTCTGGATTGGACCACCGTAACACCGGTCTAGAATGTAAAACCTGAGCAGTAATTGGAAGGAGGTGAAGTTCCCTTCTAGAAATTCCTTCCAAAATGACACCTCATTGATGTTGACAACAGAGCGGTCCAAGCCCCCACTCCGCACCTTACCCGGTCCGTTTTGAGACAACCCCCTCTCAAACCGCCCCCCCCCGCCCCATTCTTTCTGAGCCTCTGAGTGAGTCATTTCATAGGGAAAAGTCGAATAAACGGGATGGCAAAGAGACTTGGCATTCCGAAGCCCACCACCTAAAGCCCAGAGCAT